CAAATGTTCCCAAAGAAATTTGTTCCAGTGTGCAGTAAGGAATGTTTAGGATTTTCCCATTTAAACCAAAATGTATTTTAAAAATTAAGAAATGGGCAGCTTCATTTGGATAAATGCAGTTTCTGCACATGCATCTTAACATTTTATCCCAAAATTTATCCTGAGTGTATATTGACAGTGTAGCACAATATTCAGTTTTGAATAATTTGAAGGAGCTATAGCCAGAGAGCAGATGGGCATCTTTCTTTTCCTTGTTTGCAGCTTTATAGTTTAACATGAGTCTCTTGAAAAGATTGCTGGTAGCATGGCTGTTTTGTGCACCAGATCAGTATTTGTATGCAGGATCTATAGAGGCATAGTACAAACCTGCAAATTGTATCTGATTGTTATTCCAGAACAAAACAAAACTATTTTTATCAAATATATATAATAAAAGGTTGTGTAAATATCTCTTTATTTGTACATACACACATTTCTTTTTAATAATATAAAAGGAAAACTATCAACTTAGTTTAATCCTGAAATGCAAGTATTACAATAATTGGGACTTTCTTTTAAGACAAATTGGAGGATACACAAAGTATCACTTTCTTGGTGCAGACAGGATATGGACAGAGTGCTTTGTGAAGTCAGCATCAAGAATCTGTGCAAGTATGCACAGTAACTTCAAGAAGTGTTAACAAGTGAAAAAAATACTTGAAAGTGGTTGACATTAGCATTACTGTACCATCTCTTAAGACTGCAGCCCTGTGGGCTCAAATACTTTACAGAAAGACAGGAAGAAAGCGTTCAATCCTAAAGATCATTCCATCTTCATAGAATAAGCAGGAAAAGGGAAACAGTGTATAAAGACAATACTCACGTACAACACTTGCCAGTTTTGTTTTGCAAAATATTACTTCTGTGTTTGCACCATGCTGTTCTATATAGGGAAAACACTTCACAAATTGAAATGTAAATATAGTTACTCAAGACAAAACAGGAAAAGTGTTAATTGGTTGTTTCTGATAAGGTTATGAGTTGCTAATATACATTGGCCTAGAGCAGGACTGTCCAACTGGCACAGCCCGCAAGTGCTTAATTTTCAATTGGCAGGCTTTCACCTGAGCACCATTCCCTCTCATTACTCCTACTGCAGCTAGAGACATATGGAGCCCCTTTGGCACTCTGGGCAGAGTTGGGGGGCAATGATCATTTCAGTTCCCTTTAGTTTGAGGAGAGGCGCACAGGGAATTTGGATTCCTAATTTCCACCGAAAGTCGGTGGATTTTTCTGCAATCTCACATCTGTTTGTATCTTTGAAAATCACCCCCTTCATTTCTCTAGTACAGGGGTTCACAAAATGTGGCCCTCAGGCCAAATGCAACACACAGACCCTTTTGACCCCACACAGGGAGCGGCCTCTTAGAAATGGCCCTTTAGGAGTGAAGCTTTGGAAATACCTGCTTACGGATGTATGCATATACTGAAAATTACCATGTAAAAAGTTGGGTCATTTAGTTCTTCATTGTATTGTTATTGCATCTTTATGTATGTGTGTTGTATTCATTTAATCAGGACTTTGGGGGGAGGGGCTCTATTAGCAAGGCCCAGTAGCTGCTATGGCAGAAAAAAATACTGGGATTTGGATAAACTGTGTGTGGGTTTTTTTAGCACTCTCTGCCAGCAGGCATCTGATGTTTCAGTTGCTCACTCCTAGAAGTACAAAAGGAGTTTCCTTCCTTGTGCTGTTTCAGAGCTTGCTGGTTGCGGTACAATGGGAATAAGAAATAGAGAAGACATTGTGGCTGCTTTCTGCTACTTATGCTTCTTTCTAACTTCTGTATTTTGTGATCTCCTCCTTTTTGAATTATACTAGTGCTTGCCTTAACTGCTGCTCATAGCTTTTATAACAAGCAGCAACTATTGCACAGAAATAGTAACTTATTGGGTTGCAGGGTTCTGAATAGCAGCCACAAAACAGAATAAATGGTTTTATTTTCACTCTGCATTCATATGGCAGGACTTTGAACAGAAGGGTCACAGCAGTCTAGATCTGTCATTGGGAAGATCCCACACTGCATTGGTTAATGCTTGACTTGTGTTCAGAAGATTATCTTTATAAGGGTTAAATTTTTAAAGTAATTCTTCACTAATTAATAAGGGACTTGGGAAATGGAGTTTTTTCAAGTCTCCTCTCCACCCCAGCCCTTTTGTATAAGATCATGAACTAATAGTGTATCCAGTGAAGACTGAAATAACAAAAGCTTTCTGTTTGTTATCAAATAACTTCCTTATAAATTGTTTAAAATACTGCTATGATATGAAGCAACCTGAAACTAAATGACCTCAAAAAATCTTACCTTAATTTTGTAAATATAACTCAAAGATTTTTCTGTGGTTTACATGCTTAATTCCTTTATACCTATTTGCTACAGCAGATGGCTAATGCCACTTCAGGACTCTGGTGTAACTGGACTAATGTTTGCCTGTTTTTACTTAGAATGAAATACGGCCTTACCCAGAATTTCTGTAATCCATTTTTTCAGTTTCAGGGTCAAAAGCCAAGAGAAAAACTGCTTTCCGTCTCAAGGTGCAGAAAATCCAAGTGGACATTGTGGTGGTGATCTATAACCAACAAGTTTTAATAGATCCTGAACCAGTATTTTTAATCAATGATGGCAATTTTCTGCTGAACAGCAGTTGTGAAAAAATACAGTTTTTCCTGAAGCCAGAGAGTTTGTTGTCCTAGTCCATTATAATTCTGAGAGTGGGGATTTTTTTAAAAGATTAAAAATAGAGGACTGTTAAAACATGGATCCCTTTCTATTTAAGTACAGTGGCCCAGTTCTCTGTGTTTTGTGATTTTAAACCTTAGTTATCATCCAGCACTGTGGAATATGTATAACTTGCTAATGTCTATTGTTATTAAGCATAGGAATTGCTCTTTGACATTCTTATTTATCTTATTCTGACACTAGTCAGTCTACATTGCTAAAGATTTTTTTTAAAAGATGTTACCTCTTGAATGTCAAAAGCTATTTTTGATAGGAAAATAAATCTTTTGTTTTTTTAATTCTGTCATCTTCTTTGGATTTTCATGTGTTTAACCATTGGTAGGACAAGTTCAGTCAAACTTTACATTGAGATTTAGAAAGTAGAAGTCATTTGAGTTGTACTGATTTATCCTGCATTGATTTCCCCTTCATATTGAAGACAGCCATTGCAAATACTCATGCCACTTCATTTGAATTCCTAATGAAAATGGGATAAAAATTTGTTCTTACAACTTCACCACTGAAATGTCTGTAGAACTGTGATCACCATAGGGTGTTTTAAAAGATGGGGAAGAAGCTGAAGTAAGCCTCTACAAGTGATTTCATACTTTTTTTCTGTTGAAACAAAAATGTGATAAACTGTAGAAAACAGAGAAACAAATGTGTGTGTTGTGAAACAGTATAAAATATTCATTTTCCACATCACTTTATTACTCTCTCTTGTAAGAATAGTCCACAAATGGAATTCATTTTTTCAGTATCGTCCCTTAGAACAGTTGGGGAAGAAATCTTGAATTCTCTTTATCTTCTTCACAAAGTGTTACTAGGACAGGTGTATAGATTGCTAATGGGGAAGGCAAGACATTAAAATACAATGTTTTATTTGAATAGCACTTTTGATAGGCAGCTTACAAAATTAATCATCTTTTGAATTTTTTAGTTGGAGGGATTTTTATTTGCAATTTTCATAAGTGTTCTCCATTTATTTTCAAAGGATCTGTGCATCTGAAAGAGAAATGTAAGAAACCCAATGGGAAACTGCTACTTCAGATACAGTGAATTATTCCAAAGGAAATTTCAGGGATTAAATAAAATCCTCCACTGAGTTTTTATTATTAACTTGTCTATAGGTTCTTTTTAGCTATTCCTGTTGAGACTATAATTTGTGTAATTATGGATCCTGTGGGTACTTTTGTGGGATCTGGGACATAGTTTTTAAATATTTTGACATACAGTTTCTTATCATAGTTTAAATAAGAAAATACCAAAAAGCTTTCAGATTGTTATGCTAACTTGTGGTATACCTTTCCAGTGTTCCTGTCCCTAAAGTTTCAGCTTTGAGATTTCAAATGTGCAATATGCAAACAAAATTATCTGCTGAAAAACATCCCTTGATTTATTTGACATGGGAATCTCTCCTAACTTCCCTTCCATCTCCTACAAAGGCTAATTATTCATCATGCAATTTCTAAAATGGAATGTAGAAGAACCTGATACCTTTTGCAGCATATGGTGTGGAGCTATTCACTTGCATCCCCTCAAATTTCACAAGTTTAAATCACTTTGAGCAAGATCAGAAAAGCCAAGCATTACATGCGTCAGTTTGATGGCAGTGGTTGTTTAAGTGTCTCTCTTTCACTAAGAACATGTTCTATGTTCCTCAGTTTCTACATTCCTTTAAAGATTATCATTCCTTATTTGGCCTTATTAAGCCAGCTGCTCTGTTTGATTATACTGAAGTAGTCATTTTTGTCAGGAGAAACAAAAACTTTCACTTTCTCCTTTGTTTTTTGGCTTTGAAGATGTTGGTCCACTTACAGAGAAAAGGAAAAGCAAATTGCTTTAGCTAGTGCTTCCTTATATAATTTCTCTGTATTCTTAAATATGTGTTAATTGTGATACTAGCAGAACTCTCAAGAAGAATCTATATCCCTTAGGAATTATCAGATACGGATGATTGGCTCATTTCTCCATTTTAAATGCTTTAATAGCTGTAAAATTCACTATTTAGGTGCCTTCATACTTTTTGCATTTTGCATTCAGTTGTGGTTTTCTTGCACAGCTGTACCTTTTTTAGTGCTCTAGTGACATCCAGAGAAGTGGCAGAGAAAAAAACGGTTCTTGTTTTCTTGTGTGTTTTCATGGTATGCTTTGACTGACACGGTTTCATGGCAATAGGGGTTTCCCAGGTACTGAACTAAGCAAACAGGACTTAATGGAATGCTATTTCAAACTCTTTTACAGGTACATCCACTTTTATGGAAGCATTAGCAGCCAATGGTACCACCAACCTCCAAACATCTGTAACAGGAGTGACAGCCAGCAAACGAAGATTTATTGATGATCGGAGAGACCAGCCTTTTGATAAGAGGCTACGCTTCAGTGTGAGACAAACAGAAAGTGCTTACCGGTACAGAGACATTGTTGTCAGGAAACAAGATGGATTCACACACATTTTGCTATCAACAAAATCATCTGAGAACAATTCGCTAAATCCAGAGGTTAGTGTGTTTGTTACTTTTTTAGACGCTGTAGAGGGTTGGGCTTTGAATATACATATATATTTAACATCTATTGCTAAAATAATATTAAGTTCTGATAAAAAAAAAAAAATTAAAAACCTACTGGTGGTTCACTGAATTCTAGAAGTGCCAGCATTAGTGTATTTGTAGTAGCTTACATTGGGATATATACTAGTTTCTTGCCTCTTAAAAACTGAATTTGGCTGAATATTGTTTATTTGGCTGAATATTTAGATTTTCTATCTTTCATAACATAGTTTGGTGGTTTTAAGTGCAATATGAAACACAAACTTTATACTAAATTAAAGTTCTTTTTCTGAACTGGTTGCATATGCCACCTGCTGTTCAAATTATAGAAATGCTGAATGAATGCTATACGTGGAGACAAAACCTACTAGATCTCCTAATGATTGCTTTATTTTAGCTTATACAATTGTGCTGATCAAAATTGTGTTTAAGGTATATTATTTAACTCTTTTATCTTTGGACAATGAAAAATTTAAATGTATTCAGAACATGACCTGCAGCAGAATTTGCAAATTTCCCAGTTCCTAGGGAAATGTGCAGGAATGTAACAGTTCACTCAGATCTGTCAAAAAGGAAGAGGAGTGTGTTACTTTTAAATAACGTAATAAAAAGATTCTGACGAATTTAATTCCTGCTGATTTTCAGGTTATGAAGGAAGTCCAAAGTGCACTGAGTACAGCAGCTGCAGATGACAGTAAACTTGTGCTGTTCAGTGCAGTTGGTAGTGTCTTCTGCTGTGGTCTTGATTTTATTTATTTTATACGACGTTTAACAGATGATAGAAAAAGGGAAAGCACTAAGATGGCAGAAGCTATTCGGTACGTAAAATTGCTTTTAGTCATTTACATGTTAATGTTTTTCATTGTCTAAACTAAGTTATTTTTAACTTATCCTCTGATTAAAAAATATATAACTATATTCTCCTTTATAGGTTTTAACTCAACCAGGTTTCAGCCATTCACTTGTCATGTGATACAGTGTGCAGAACTTTTTTAATACTTGTCCAGTTCTGTTCAAGTTTACCGAATGTAAATAGCTACTTACTGCATTAAAACTGAATATGAAAAATTGTATCTTTGTTCATGATAAAAATATAAAGGTGGGTTTATAATAGAAATACCTCAAGTGTGAGGGTCCTGTTAAAACATAATTTTAAAAAAAGTGATTAATCTGATATGCCACAACACTTAAGTGCACTTGAAGAGTGAACTAGAGAAGGTTCATAAAAAAGAATGATAGCTTTTTAGGTGAATAGCTTATTTTTTTTCTAAGCAGTGGCCTAATGATAGCTGCCAAAATCTGTTTCAATGAATGAATGTAGTCTTTTAAAAATTAAAATAAGTATTATGAAGAAAGAAATTTCCTGTCAGTTATTTGAATATTGTGTCTTATAACATTTCCAGAATTATTGCTTCCTATGTACTTCCATAAATTTTACTTTTTGGTTACTTAAACATTGCATGCAGCAAAATACACTGACAGTATGTAGAAATCACCCCTTTAATTAATTTTTTGCTCTCTGAATTAAAGAAAAATTTGTTTCTATATCATTGGTGATTTGCATGTGATTATTTGGTGGAAGCACTCTGGAGTTTGCTCAGTTTAATATGAGACTGCCTTATGGGGCCTAGTTTTTTTTAAGCCTTTGGAAGGTACTTTTCTCTTTCGACACAGAAAACTCTCTCTGAAGATTTTTACTTGCATATTTTATTTACCTATGTTACAATTCAATTTTATTAGTGAATGATTTATCTAATTAGTTCATTAGTGGTTTTGTTTATCCAGTCACTTTTTAAAAACTTGATTGTATGCCTCTTCACCGTGTTTACTATGATTCTTCCCCATGAGAGGCCTCCAGTTTTAAAACACCCATACTACAGAACTATAGCTCAGCAGGGCAAACCCTTCTTGTTCCTGATTATTCCATGTTAATGTGAACATGAGCAAGGGGTATGCAAGGTTCTTGTGTATTTCTGCCAGTTTAAAGCTCTTACAGTTTTAACCCTCCCTTTCCCATATTCTTCTATCCCTGACAAGCAGCGCCTAGGAGTGCTGTAGCACATGTGCATGTGGTATTGACCTGCTGAATACTTGGGTGAAAAACTGATGAACATATTGCTTTAATTGGAGGAGAAAGATAGAACCCTCAACAATTAAGCGAAGAGGGTTGGAAAAGATGTATTGATTTTGACAGGCCTGAAGATAAGAACATCACCATTTCAATGCAAAAAGTACTTAACAAAACCCCACCTGTCTCCTCGAGAGAGAAATATAGGGCTACTATGGTTTGTTAATGTGGCACGGTTACTTTGGACTAAAGTACAATATGAATTTAAAGCATTTATAGCCACCTGCTCATGGGGGAGATTCTCATTGCAGGAAAAAAGTGTACTGCTTTTGGTTTAGCTTAGTCAGCTTCCAGAATCTATTTATGTACTCATTCAGGCTTTCTATATTTTTCCTTTGTTGGGGGTGGGTATGACCTACTGCACTAAGATTTTGGGTTGAAATAAAGAATTTCAATATAATGTTAATTTTGAGTGGTTGGGATGAAAGGGGTAGAAATGAAAATGGTGGTGGTCCTGAGAAATTAAGTCTTCATAAAATACTTTAATACTGGTACCAACTGTAACCCAATTACATCAAAGTTGTACTTTATTTTCCAGCATCTGCAGTGTACTGATGAAGCATTATTATTTTGAGCCAAATTCTTATTTTTTTTAGATACTTTTTATCTTCATTTGAAGGAAACCATGAAAAAGAAAAGGAACATTTGTGCATTTCTTCTGGTAGAAATGGAATGAGAATGTCCATTGAGATTAATTGGGCAGTCTGCTTTCTACCATACTTACAAGTCACATAAAATCTACTACTTCTGTTCTGGAATCATAGACCTAAAACCTAAACAGATCTCAAAGACGATCTGGTACCAGTTTTTTTCTCAAAGAAGTTGGTATCAGTTTTTTTAATAATTCTGCCAAAGGCAAACTAAAGGCCTGCTGAACTGTTAGACTAGTGAGGAGCAGTGTACTTTGCTTGTGTAAATCACTGTGTTGGCAGACACTAGAAATGGAGGTAGCTTGTTTTCTGTTATAGAACAGGTCTTTTCATATTGGCTTCCTCTCTTTTCTCTTGACTTGAAGAATGCCCTTTGAAAGTAATGTCAGAGAAGTTGCCTATCCATTCAGCTAGTTTTGGTTCTGAAGAACCATTTCTGTTTTCAGACTCCAGCTTCCCTTTTTGAAACCAGTTACCCTAAAAATAGCATCAGAACCACAGAGCAGCAGTTACCAAGGTCAGGTTCCTGAAAGAGAATTTCTCCTAACCTTTAAAGCCTATCAGGTCTACAAATTAAATTAATTCATAGACATGATGACAAAGTCTTTTTGCACAGAAAGTGTGTCAGTTGTCTACATAATCTTCTTCCAGTCATTGTCCTTAGATATGACATGCACAGAGAGGTTCTTTGTAATGCTACTCTATCAGTAATTTAATGTATGCTTTTCTGTAAGCCTGATTTTTTAATCGGTATTTGCAGAGCTGCGAAACAGTAAAACGAGAGAACTTTAATTGAGGTTTTAGGTGTGTTTTCTACTGAATTTTTATGGCCAAAGCTGGATTTTCCTGGAGAGACCAAGCTATCATCCTAAGTCTGAGTGGGTTATTGGTAAGGTTGACCAAAGGGAGGTAGTTATTCATGCAGAAAACTTTTCTCTTAATCTGTTCAAGTCAGCTAGAAGCCTGTCTGTCTTAAGTGGTGGCTGTGATGTGCAAGAGCCAGTATACCTTTTTCTGGGGTATCTCTTGTTATATTTCTGCAGCTAGTTTCTTCAGTAAAGGGCAAACTTTTTTTATTTTAGTAATTCAAATTGTTTAAAAATATCATTAGGCCTCTTAGAGGCAGAAGATTCATGGCATGATACTGAAATATGTCTCCATCCAAATTAAAAGGAGGCTGTTCAGTTACTGACTTAAGATTGTATGATACTTTTCATTAACCACACTGCATACAACACCCTGATGCTTTATTGTCTTGAGATGTCACAAATTGCATAGTTGGAACACACATAGAAACATCTACTTCTCTTTTCCTGTGTTTGTGGTAATAAGAGGATGTTCCAGGTCTAAATTAGGTCCCAGGAATTTTAACATTTCTGTGTAACAGTTGCTTGAAGGTAGTTCCCATCTGTAAGAACAGAGTCATGTACACCCCCATACATTACTTCATACAATTCAGTGCTACAGTAGACTGTTGGTTTGGGTGACTAAGAAAGGAGGGGAATGAGGTGGTTATTAAGGTACACAGAATATGGTGCTTGTAGAGGATTGATGGGCATGAGGGAGAAGAGGAAGGGGAAAAGTTTAAGAGATCTGTGATGTTAGGTAATGGGGATGGTGCTATTTGTGGGGTTTTTTATCCACTTGTTTCCAAAAAAACTTCCCCTTTCCCTCTCCTTAAAATTGGGGATCCCTCTCTGAGCCTACTGCTAATGATGACCTGCTAATTTGATTGGCAGTTGCTCACTCGTTACATATGCACCCCCAGTTCAGACCAGGCTGGGCAGTAGAAGAGCTTTGCTACTGTCCAATGACTGGGTTCTGCAGAGGCTTGAAGAGGAAGCAGGTCCCTGAAATGTTGCTTGCAGGTAGCTGTT